CGGGAGGGAGGAGAGAGGCTGGGGCATGCCGGGAGCGTGTTCGTCTCGGCAGAGCTGAGGCACGGCCCCGCAGGCTCGTACTGCCACCGTGGGTTTGCTTCGGAGGGAGGCAGCGACGAGGAGCAGTCCGAGGGCCCCGGCCGACCAGTGTTCTGGGCCGATTCTTCGCCGTCGGCCGTTTTATTAATAAAAACGTGCAAAACCTGTGTTGCCACTCTGTGCCCTTTCCTGGTGGGGTCAGCCAGGCCCGCGTGAACTTGGGGGCGGTGATCGCACCCTTCTTACTTTTCTCCATGTGCAGCCTCTTGTTTGCAAGCCTGCCCCATCCTGGCACTTGGTATTTCAGGATATCGGACCAGGAGGACCGCACCAAATCACTTAAGGCACTGCCTCACTGACAAAGCGCCACTTATTCTATGTAAAACACATTCCCGGGCTTTTCACTGAGTCGAAATTAATCTGGCTTTGCTCCTCGTCTCATAGCACTGCAAAAAAACCAAACCAAACCAAAACAGCATTCTTCCTGATTATTATGATTCCCAATTTGCACCATTTAGCCTCAAAACAAGGACCCGTAGCCATGCAGCAGCCCCCATGCCATGGCAAACAGCTGCTCGCACACTGTGGCTGCTCTCAGTCCAGCGCGGGCAGCTGATGGTCTTCGTTAGAAGCCTTCCTAATTAGGAGGAACCTTGTGACAGGCGCCTGGGAGCCCCCGGGAGGTTAAACCGGCGCCGCTGGCCTGCCAGCCACACGGGCTCCCCTTGGGTCTGGGAGGCCCCGGCAGCATCACTTGATTAAGGTGGGGGCCAGCTGTGCGGCCAGCTGTGCACAACTTTGATGTGGGAAAAGCTGGGGCGCATGGGGCGTTCGCAAGCCGTGGGGTGCGTTTCCCAGCCTGCTCGCCATCGAGGGATCGCGCCCAGGCAGGCTCCGGCTCTCTGCCCAGGGGAGAGCAGTGCCGGGTGCCAGGGGCTGCGTTTATACCCGGTATAAATCTGAACTCTAATTGACTTCACCTCCTTGGATCTTAACCCAAGGAGAAAACATCTGGGCCTGATGTGATTTTATTAAGTGCTGATTTCATCAGTGAAGGGGAAAAAAAGAAAAAAAAAAGAAGAAAACCTGCTGGTCAGTTGGATCAGCTCCCTGTAAACCGCTGCAAGGCGATGGAGCAGCACAGAAGGGACAGGCAACTTGGTGAGTGGCAGCCATGCGTTTGAGGTGGCAATGGCCTTCGGTCCCCTCCACGCTGACCCGCGGGAGTGAGCGGGGATACTTGATGGGGCTTTGAAAACTTGCTGGTTGCCTGCAGATCCCTGGGGGGAGTAATCAGGAGAAATGATGCGGCAGGCAGAGAAAAGTAAAATCCCCAATTGCGCTTTTTCCCAGGGAAATAACCGCGCCCCAAGGCAAACCCTGATGGAGCCATAGAGAGAGGCGTCACGATAGGGTCTGTCCTCAGCACAGACAAAGGGCTGACATCGCGGCATCCCCAGGCTGCATGGCTCCTGACAAAGGCACAAAGGTCCATGATGAAAGCAAAGATGCCACGCACTGGCCTGAGAACAGTTATTTCAGTGCATGTGTGACTGAGCTTTCGCTTTGCTTAATTGCCATCCACCTTGTGGAGGAGGACAGCCAGGCTTGAAATACATTTTCAAGCAAAAAATCCCACAAGCCCTGAACACGCACAGGGGCTTATTGCAAAAACAAGTTGTTTTTTTTTCCTCTTTCTTCCTTTTTTCCCCCCACCTCCTGCCTGTTCTTTCAACTGCTCATAGTTTTTCCGGGACAAATTTAGGCCTGGGCCACGTCCCACTCGTGTTTGGAAAGTCTGAGCAGCTCTGGCTGCGCTGCCGGCAGCAAGGAGAAAGGGCAGACGGCCCACGGCAGTTTTATACTTAAAAACCCCGTAAGGAGCCAAATGCCAAAGAAAACCCCAGATCTTGCTGAGATTTCGGAGATTGAGAGGTGGGCGGGAAGGCAGTGGGGGATCCCTTGGGTTTGCCCTAGCCAAAGGACTGTTTAAATCGAGCCAAGCTCCTCCGGGAGAAGTCTGCAACTCACCTCGTCTCGTTCCTCCGCCGCCGGAGAAGGGGCTGCTGCTTTTCCCCCTGCCACGAGCCCCTTCCACGCAGCATCGCGGGGTCTGGGCGAGCCAGGAGAGCACGAACACGCGTCCGCTGCTGTCCTGCGGATGGGAAAAAACATCACGCCTGAAACGAGCTCGTTAGGAGTCCGTTTGGTAAATACAGAGCCTGGGTGTTTTTCTATAGGTGACACCGTTTCAGCTGAGCTTTGCCAGGAGGCAGCCTGGGAAGGAGTTACACATATTTTGGAGG